TTTGGAGCGTTGATATGAAGCAAGAGGACTTAAATAGCCTTGTGGAGGTAATTAATCTTCCTTGTATTTTTTTTTTTTTTTTTTTTTTTTTTTTTTCTAGGGGATTCTCTGCAGCCTGGGACGTGATGTAGGCAAAACTACATTCTTTGAAAATGTCCATGTTGTTTTCCCCTTCTCCCTTTCCTAAATCCTTACCTTAATACTGTATATTAACTTCATAAAGTCAGTGTTTTCCTGATACCTCTTCTGGAAAACCTCTGTCCCTTCCCAGATCCAACCACACTCCTTCAGTCTCCTGGAGCTCTATCTCACTCTCTTTCTCTTTCTCTCTCTCTCCTTTGCATTTATGTGTCATCCTGAGTTCACCCTTATGATAGCATTGATGGTAGTATTCTGTAATCAATGATTTATTATATGTCCCACCCACTGGACTATGAACGTCTTAAGTGAGGATCACATGTTGCCTAGTATTCTGGCCCCAGGGACTCACCCAGAGGAGTATCTGTTGAGTAAATGACTCGATGAATGACCAAGTAAATAGAATAACTCAACCAGTCATCTTTACTCAAACATTGGCCTTAACTAAAGTGAACATGTAATTTATTCTCTTAACTGTGACCCTATTGAGCATGGAAGGGAGTGATCACTGGACAGTACACTGGGACAGCATGCATTCTCCAGGAACAGTCTGAGCAACTGGAAACAGATGGTTACCCTAGCTTTAGCCCATTCTACCCAGCCTAATTTTACCTTCTCTGCCATTATATTATGAAAGTGAACCATTGTGTCATTATCTTTTATATTGAGCACTCTATATAGTGAGGTGGGACTGACAGTTGGGTTAGAGGTCAGAATAAGGGATAATGATTGGAAAGTCATTCTCATTTACCCAGAGGGGGCAAGCAAAAACCACAGGAGAAATCGAAAAGAGAGGTGTTGACTGAGATAACGGAGGCTCAAATCCAGGTATCTGAACACAGGACACACTTGAAGGGAAGACAAAAGAGTCGAGCCAGAGGGCTTACTACATTATTTAACGTATATTCGTTCATTTAATTTTCACCTTATGGAACCTTGTAAGATAGGGTGATGTTGCTATTCCTACTTTATGGATAACCAAACTGAGGCACAGAGCAGAATTGACTACTTCCTAGCTCATAAAGTCAGAAAATGGCAGAGCAAGGATTCAAAGTCAGTTTGGTGGGATTCTAAAGCCCATGACTCTAACCAAGATAGAACAGGTAGAAAAGAATTCAGGAAAAAGGGAGTATTTAACATTGTCAGATTCTTGGATAAATCAAGGATAAGAAAGCCTGGGAAAAGGTCATATCATTTGACAACTGGGAGACTAATCATGACCTTTCAGTGGTCATATTAATAGAATGGATTGGGAGATTAATAGAATGAATTGATGGGGACAAAAAGTGGGCAAAGAATGAACATGAAGAGACATTTCTCAAAAGAAGATATACAAACATCCAACAAACATGAAACAATGCTCAACATCACTAATTATCAGGGAATTGCAAATTAAAAGCACAGTGATACACTATGTTCCTCCTGCAAGAATGGTCATAATTTAAGTCAAAAAACAATAGATTTGGCACGGATGTGGTGAAAAGGGAACACTTTTACACTGTTGGTGAGAACGTAAATTTGTACAACTACTATGGAAAACTGTATGGAGATTCTTTAAAGAACTAAAAATATAACTATTATTCAATCCAACAATCCCACTCCTCAGTAACTACCCAAAGGATAAGAAGTCATGTGAAGGCCGGGTGCAGTGGCTCACACCTGTAATCCCAGCACTTTGGGAGGCTGAGACGGGCGGATCACGAGGTCAGGAGATCGAGGCCATCCTGACTAACAC